CCAAGAAGAAAGTTGTAAATTGCGTCGGTGCTAAGGCTAAAGATCGGAGAGAGGTTTTTTCAAAGGACGTAGCTAACATTTACGAAAACGTACCGAAGGAGGGATGTAAGACAATGGCTAAAACTTTGTTGCCTCAAGGGATACCAAAATAAAGTGTAGAGGTTACGTCAGACAAGTATCTTTCGCAGTATAAAAGACAGGTTAGTAATCTTTTCTCAAATCATTGCCGGAAATACCCTAATATTTCTCAATTATTTGGAACAGAAAAAGGCTTCTTAGATGGCTTCTTCACCGGAGTGTATAACCTGGATGGTTGTAGGCCTGACTGAATCTGTCGTCATAATAACACTGAATTCTTTGACAGTGATTGCATTTTGTAGAGATCGTAATCTTTGTAAACGATCCACATACTTGGTGATAAACTTGGCAGTTGCAGACATGTTATCCGGGGGAACTTCTCCACTCGACCTCTTCTATAATGTTGGAGCGATATGTAACTTCTGGAGGCTCAAAACTGTGTCTTGTTATCAGATACCACAGGTCTTACTCCTCTGGTTTCCTATTGGTTCGTTAACAAATATGACTGTTATTTCTCTAGAACGCCTGAATGCAACGTTTTGGCCCTTCAGGCATCGTACGATCAAAAAGTCGGTCTACTGGGTTCTTATAATCGCCATTTGGTTCACAGCAATACTCTTTTATAAAAATCAATTTGATCAAAGCCTTCTGTGGCATGAATATATCACAAATAAAAAGGAAAACTACTTAAATAAGCGGAGTGAATTGGCAGCTACAGCTGATATCTTCAGGCGATCGAAGTAAAATGTGTGACAAAGAGAAATAGGTTCAGATATTCCAAACCTGTTTGTATGATACCACGACTGAAGGCAATTAATGAGAACCGTTTTGTGTCAAATCCGTTTGATATGCTGTGCTTAAGAATTTGTTCATGCTTAGCGTGCGTATATCGAGTTATGGATGCACGCGGAAAGTTTGGAGAGCACAAAAAATGCGTAAGAGTACCTCGAGAAAACTAATCAGTAAATGAAAAAGAGGCGCTGATATCTGCCGTGAAGATCCTGGTGAAGTGGAAAGACAAATCATTCGAACTTTTCTGCGGACCAATTCTGAACTATGATAGAAACGTGATTACAAGAATAATATTCATGATTATGATGATATCGATCACTAGGAACTAGTCATGATTACAAAATAGCTACAGTAATGATAACAAAACAAGCGAAATAGAAAAAGACAAAGGAACATCTTTGAAGTGTTGGTGTTTTATTTCCAACGCTAGTTTACAATTATACATCCCATCTGAATAAATTGTCAGTCTTCACTTGTGTATTCAAGAAAAATAGTGAATAATACATAGCGGGCACAGACACAAGATTTCTCTTCGACTGTTCGGCTCGATGTCTCAGGAGTTCGCGCTGAGCTCGCTGTGCTTATTTGTGAGACGTCGAGTTGAACAGGAGAAGAGAAATTCTGAATCTACCAGCGACCATTATTATTTTGTTTATCATCTAAACACAATAGGTCTTTACCGGCAAGTAAAGTCGACTTTATTAACGACTGAAAAAAAATAAGATCCACCATCCAAGAAAAAAGTCGTAAATTGCATCGTCGATAAGGCTACAGATGAGAGAAAGCGATGAATCATTACAAAAACAAGTAATGGGCGTAAATTTCAATTCACATAATTCTCTCTCTGAGAACCTTTGAACCATACCAAATGAGCTGTCATTCATCTAAATGATCTAAGACATATCTGATTGGTTCATGCATGTCATGTTTGTATGAAATGTATTGCAGTGCGTTGTTGAAGGGTTAAAGGCTATGTGGCATGTCTCGCATCTTTCTGAGAAAGAGTGTAAAGTAGCCTGTGAATTCGAAAAAGATATATTTCTGTAATAAGCGGTCGATTCCATGCGACACGACAAAATATCCAAAAGCATGGAAAGACGTTTTCCGAGCAGAAATTGAAAAATGAAACAGATAGAGGATATTTCATGGCCGCGTGGGGATACGAATTTTAGGGGTCAGAATTTTAGTTTTCTTTTGCAATAATGACACTGCCCGAACGGAAAGTTACGAGCTCAATATTCACTGATTCGTGACATGATAAAAAGCGTTCAAAATCTCTTTGAAACAGTCTAATGGAGTTTGATGGTCGTGGGCCTGACTGAATCTGTCACCATAAGAACATGCAATTCTTTGACAGTGATCGCATTTTGTAGAGACCGTTATCTTTGTAAACGAACCACGTACTTGGTGATAAGCTTGGCAGTTGCAGACATGTTATGCGGGGGAAATTCTGCACTGGAGCTCTTCTATGATGCTGGAGGGTTATGTAACTTGTCACTTTTTTGTTCTTACCACATTTTGACGTCCTCTGTTATCTACTACTGAACAGACGCACGGCAACTTGAAATCTATTTGTTTTATGTAATAAAGAATTAAAATATACGGAAAAAAGTTTTAATGATGACGTCATCTATACGTCTATCCTCCAATAGATCATAAGTGAGAACCAATCAGAATGCGTGCATAACTGAGCTTATTATATAAACTCTCATAGAGCACGCTCTTACACCTAATGACACCGCGCGTGATATCCGAACTTCGATATAATGTGAATTAAAACAACTACTAGTTTGGGCTTCGAGTTATAATATGAATAGTTAAATATCAAACTATTTACCAATAAAAATCATATTTATTTATCATTTCAACTGCACAAAAAAAAAATGGGACACACTCTTGTGTTTTTCCTTGACGTTATTCCTTTTGCCGTGATGTTTTTTTCTTTTGCCGTGACAATTGTGGGCCACCCCATATATTATTTAGTAAAAAACAAAGAATAAAAACCGGTCGGTTTCATACTTGTGAAGAAATATATATATATTTTTTTTTTCAGATGGCACGGTAACGAATCCTACAATCTGATTGGTTCTTTACGCGGTCAGTATTTTCCTATCTCTGCCCACGGGCAACGGTAACTTTTCGTGAGTCGCCGAGTACATTCCTTCATTCGTTGGTTTTTTCATAAATATATTTCGCTTTACCGGCTGGGCAGTATTTTTGAGCAAAGACGTCGGTCACTACCTCAAGCTGATAAATAACTTATGATTCCTCTCTTTTCTCTCTCTCAAGTCACTTTGCTTGACTGAAAAATGTTCGTTTCAGAATGATGACTTTTTTGTATAAGCAATAGTGTCATTACGTTGGTTGACAGGCGGCCTAAAAACCGTCTGCAATTAATTTTAATCGTTCACAAAAAGTACCTGGAGAGTTAAAACGTGAGATATTTGGCTACAGTTGAACTAGTCAATGGAACCTTCATTCATTCAATATCTGAATTTTCTCAAACAATTTGTTCGTGGTGAAAAGGCGAGCGAAGTTTTAATTTCAGTTCTGCAACAAATATACGCTCTCGGTAAGTTTTTTCAAGTCCGTTCAATTTGGACATTTGTACCGTAAATTGTACAACAGAAACTTAAGGAATTCAAAGAGAAAATACCTCTTTAAACCCCCTTGTGTCCCGTTGGAGTGTATCATCCGAATTTAGTGTTTGTGGAAGAAAGACCAGATTTTCACACGCCATTGCAGCAAAAAAACGAGCAAACTCTCACAACTTCAAAACAAAAAATTTGAGTTTACTTACAATTACTTTCCTCGCCGAGTACTTGAATTAATCGTAGATAAGAGTGAATAACACTTTCCGTAAGGTCATTGACTGTTTTTGAAGAAAACATTCTGGTGACAGTCCTTGCCAAACTAGTTTCGTTGTTTTTCAAAAATGTACTTGCGCTTTTTTCTTTTCTTTTCCTACGCGCTCTCTAATTGACAGGTGTCAGATTGTGACAGATACTTGTCTGATAATGTTTTAAAGTTTTATTTGGAAGCCTTTTAAATAACCTTTATTATTACGCAAATGAAAATGTTCTCTTTAATTTGCGTCACCTCTATTTTAACTACCATTTACTCATTCAAAAACTGTTCAGGTTAAGGAAGATCTTGCTGTATTTACAGCCCAAAATCATCCGTGTTCTTTCGGAATGAATTTCGTTAAGTTTAAACAATAAATAAATAAATGAAATATGTCATTTACCGGCTAAGGGTCGGTCCGTATGATGAAAAGCTGTGACCTCGGCCTTGAAAATGCTGCCTTCGGCCTACGGCCTCGGGCAGCATTTTCAAGACCTCAGTCACAGCTTTTCACCATACGGACCTCCCAGCCGGCAAATAACTTATATTTATTCAGATATCGATCGACTTTTTCCTTATTGAACAGTTGCACACAGCTTACAAAATGCCAATTTTGCCATGCAAACGCCATGTTCGATCCTGAGTTTTATCGCCGGAAGATTATAAAGAAACTGAGGACGCTTTTAAGAAAGTTAATTGAGATAAGGTAGGCTTTGAAGATTATTTTCTTAACAAAGTTCATCGGCACAAATTGGCTCTTTGGAAAGATTCGGTTCGGTCACTTTAGTGAAGTCAAGTGGTCTCCTCGATCACCTTCAGTCCTTTGTTTGTTCTTGTTCCTATTTTGTGTTTCTTAATTAATTGCAAAAATTGTTATGTCTCCTAAAGTAAACGAGAGAAGTGGATTCCAGAATTTCGAAGACGATTATTTTCTTAGCAAATTGCTCTTAAATTATTTCAGTGTTTCTAGATTTAAACGCAGTTCACGCTAAAAGCAGTTTGATGGCTGTCTTAAGTAGATATAGAAACTAGTTGCTCTGCACGACCAGTAGGGAAACAAAGGTCGTCTTCATATTGGAGCGGGTTTTTTTTTTAAGGACGTAGCTAACATTTACGAAAACGTACCGAAGGAGGGATGTAAGACTATGGGTAAACTTTGTTGTCTGAAGGGCTACCAAAATAAAATGTAGAGGTTACGTCAGACTAGTCTCTTTCGCAGTATAAAAGACAGGTTAGTTATCTTTTCTCAAATCATTGCCGGAAATACCCTAACATTTCTCAACTATTTGGAACAGAAAAAGACTTCTCCGATGGCTTCTTCACCTGAGTGTATAACCTGGATGGTTGTGGGCCTGACTGAATCTGTCGTCATAATAACACTGAATTCTTTGACAGTGGTTGCATTTTGTAGAGATCGTAATCTTCGTAAACGATCCACATACTTGGTGATAAACTTGGCAGTTGCAGACATGATATCCGGGGGAACTTCTACACTCGACCTCTTCTATAATGTTGGAGCGACATGTAACTTCTGGAGGTACAATACACTGTCTTGGTATCAGATACCACAGGTCTTACATCTCTGGTTTCCTATTGTTTCGTTAACGAATATGACTGTTATTTCTCTAGAACGCCTGAATGCAACGTTTTGGCCCTTCAGACATCGTACGATCAAAAAGTCAGTCTACTGGGTTCTTATCATCGCCGTCTGGCTGACAGCACTACTCTTTTCATGTGCGTTGAGAATAATTGAGAACTATGCACGTGAATGGGACTATTATTACTACGCATGGAGTTCATTCGTCTCAATTTGTCTTTTGGTTATTTGTGTCTCTTACGTTTTTATTTTTGCCAAGCTTCGCTTTGGAAGTCAGCCTCGACACCATGGTGCGGCAAATAGGGAAAGGAAACTGACCGTTACGTTGTTCACCGCGACTTCTCTCTCTCTCGTATTGTGGCTGCCTTATGTCATAACTAGTTCTCTTTATTTTGCTACTGACATTTCCAGTTCCGTTTGCAAGGTGGTTCAATGGTCTTGCTTTACGCAAACTCTTTTTTGAATCCGATATTGTATTCTATGAGAATACCAGATTTTAGGCGAGCTTTAAAGATATTATGTCGCCAATGACCTCAGCAACACAGACAGGTTCAGAACTTTCCCCTCCGTGACATTAATCCACAAAATTGAATTTAACTAGTGTGGGGGAAATGAACTTTCTCTAAGGTTCTTTGACTGTAGCTTTTGATAAGAAGTGCTCTAAATTCTCCAACTTCTACATTAAATAAAAAAAAATGGAAAGGAAAAGAGTAGGAAAATTGAATTAATCAGACTACGTTAAGGATCATTTATTATTAAACGTGGTTCCTTTGTACGTTTCATGTGTAAGGTTTCATTTTGCATTTTGTTCATTTGATTTTATTTGATTATTTCCATTACCTTAGATTTAGTTCTGCGTCATTTTAATTTTAGTTTGCGTGTGTTTAAGTTGAGTTCACGCTTTTTCCTACGTGATTATGTCAAGGCCGTTTTTTACCACTTTGTTTAGCTTAGATCGTTTCTATCGCTTTTCCTTGATTCGCTTCACGTTTTGTAGAGGTTCACTGGATTCTGGTTTTTGTCGAAGAAGTAAATATAAACACGTAAGAAATTGTAACTGCAATTTTAATCATATTGCGAAATTTAACATTATTATATTATGTAAATAAACATTCAGGTAGTAGCTTGTCTTCACAAAATAGCTTAACGCTGTACATCCTCAAGTTAATATGTATTTCCTCCATACTGTTCTCGATATATTTCCAATGGATTTGACAAGGAGAATGATCATTTCCTTTGTTCTCGTGACCTTTTTGTTTTATTCAGGGGTGATACTGTAAGGAGAAATTAGATGTAAGTCAATCTTAGAGTTCAAAGTGTTAACAGCTAAAGGATTTGTAGATGAGCTAGATGACCACTCTTTATCAATTTGAATATACACAACATCAGAAAAAAAGGATGTGATTAGCTAAGTTATTTAGTTATCTATCTTAATTAGTGGTAGTAATAGGACTGAGTGGAGTCCAATTTGGTCTGCAATCATACTTTGCTACCAAGAGTATGATTACGAAGTCTTATTACCAATAAATTTTAAAGAGTACAATTTGCGAGAAGAGAAGTATAGCCTAGTTAAGAAAGAAAGATAAAATTTGCTTTAAAAGACTGAAAAGGAACTGGTGTTTCTATGGTGATTGAAACCGAGGCTGTAATCGGTTGATTTAAACTGCATCTTTGAATGTGATTGGTTGATTTAAACTACAACTTTGGATGTGATTGGCTTATTGAACTGTCCCATAACAAACTGTCCGATAACAACTCGGCAAGTAAATTAAAGGAAAAATGTGAATTTTTTTAACCAATCACAATCAAGGAAATTATAATTTTTATGATGAAGACTGATACTCTCAGCATAAATGCATAATTTAAAGATAGCTAACACTTATCTTATGCATGTATGAAATAAAATAAAAATAGGAAATGGGTAGATTTGTATTAGAAATAAACTGACATAAATAAAATTCGAAGAATTAATATGAACCAGGTTTTATTTTCTCGCGCGAAGGGATGCAAATGTCGAGCGCGGGAGTTGGATAAAGCAACAAGAGTCCAGCATGAAAGTCCTACACCCAGGAGAAGAGGGTGAAGTTTGCCTATCTGTTTGTCTCGCTTTATTTACCTCAAACTTAGGGAATAAAAAATGAGAGATAAGGATCGGTAGACGGAGAACAGGGAATAAAGAACGGGGAAGAGGGGTAGAAAAAGGTGAACAGGGAACAGAGAACAGAGAACAGAGAACAGAGAACAGAGAACAGAGAACAGGGAACAGGGAACAGAGAACAAAACAGAGAACAGAGAACAGAGAACAGAGAACAGAGAACAGAGAACAGAGAACAGAGAACAGAGAACAGAGAACAGAGAACAGAGAACAGAGAACAGAGAACAGAGAACAGAGAACAGAGAACAGAGAACAGAGAACAGAGAACAGAGAACAGAGAACAGAGAACAGAGAACAGAGAACAGAGAACAGAGAACAGAGAACAGAGAACAGAGAACAGAGAACAGAGAACAGAGAACAGAGAACAGAGCACAGAGAACAGAGAACAGAGAACAGAGAACAGAGAACAGAGAACAGAGAACAGAGAACAGAGAACAGAGAACAGAGAACAGAGAACAGAGAACAGAGAACAGAGAACAGAGAACAGAGAACAGAGAACAGAGAACAGAGAACAGAGAACAGAGAACAAAGAACAGAGAACAGAGAACAGAGAACAGAGAACAGAGAACAGGGAACAGGGAATAGGGAACAGGGAATAGAGAACAGGGAACAGGGAACCGGGAACAGGGAACGGAGAACGGGAAACAGAGAACAGAGAACAGGGAACGGGAAACAGTAACGGGTAACAGGGAACAGGGAACAGGGAACAAGAAAAAGAGACCGAGGGAAGAGGGACCGAGGAACGGGGAACAGGGAATAGGGACCTAGGAACAGGGAACAGGGAACAGGGAACAGAGAAAGGGAGACAAGGAACAGGGAATAAAGAACGGGGAAGAGGGGTAGAAAAAGGGGAACAGGGAACAGAGAACAGAGAACAGAGAACAGAGAACAGAGAACAGGGAACAGAGAACAGAGAACAGAGAACAGAGAACAGAGAACAGAGAACAGAGAACAGAGAACAGAGAACAGAGAACAGGGAACAGAGAACAGAGAACAGAGAACAGAGAACAGAGAACAGAGAACAGAGAACAGAGAACAGAGAACAGAGAACAGAGAACAGGGAACAGGGAATAGGGAACAGGGAATAGAGAACAGGGAACAGGGAGCCGGGAACAGGGAACGGAGAACGGGAAACAGAGAACAGAGAACAGGGAACGGGAAACAGTAACGGGTAACAGGGAACAGGGAACAAGAAAAAGAGACCGAGGGAAGAGGGACCGAGGAACGGGGAACAGGGAATAGGGACCTAGGAACAGGGAACAGGGAACAGGGAACAGAGAAAGGGAGACAAGGAACAGGGAATAAAGAACGGGGAAGAGGGGTAGAAAAAGGGGAACAGGGAACAGAGAACAGAGAACAGAGAACAGAGAACAGAGAACAGAGAACAGAGAACAGAGAACAGAGAACAGAGAACAGAGAACAGAGAACAGAGAACAGAGAACAGAGAACAGAGAACAGGGAACAGAGAACAGAGAACAGAGAACAGAGAACAGGGAACAGAGAACAGAGAACAGAGAACAGAGAACAGAGAACAGAGAACAGAGAACAGAGAACAGAGAACAGGGAACAGAGAACAGAGAACAGAGAAAAGAGAACAGAGAACAGAGAACAGAGAACAGAGAACAGAGAACAGAGAACAGAGAACAGAAAACAGAGAACAGAGAACAGAGAACAGAGAACAGAAAACAGAGAACAGAGAACAGAGAACAGAGAACAGAGAACAGAGAACAGAGAACAGGGAACAGGGAATAGGGAACAGGGAATAGAGAACAGGGAACAGGGAGCCGGGAACAGGGAACGGAGAACGGGAAATAGAGAACAGAGAACAGGGAACGGGAAACAGTAACGGGTAACAGGGAACAGGGAACAGGGAACAGGGAACAAGAAAAAGAGACCGAGGGAAGAGGGACCGAGGAACGGGGAACAGGGAATAGGGACCTAGGAACAGGGAACAGGGAACAGAGAAAGGGAGACAAGGAACGGGGAACAGTTTATAGATGACGGGGAGTGGAGAACGAGAAATGGGGAAAAGGGGAATAGAGAGAGAAATTATGCCTATATCGATATTTTAGTCGATTTTTCGGTGAACCGTAACAAATTAATAGAAACCAGCCAAGTGTGTATGGGATAAATTTCGGCCGCGGTAAATAACTGATTTGTTGCCTAAAACTACGATTAATTATTACTAAGTTCGGATCTAGCGCACGCTGTCATCAGTTGATGGAGCGTGCCTTATCTGAGTACAAAACACGGAGCTGAACTGTCACGCCATCTGTTTAATTATCTGATCATTCCCCAGACTCTTTTCATGTACATTATTAACATGTAATAACATGATTTCACATGCAATTAGGCGTGATAAGCACTTGTTTCATTTTTCAAAGACCATAAATTGCACGAAAGGTGATCCAGCGGTTTCCCTGCATCTGTGAAAGAGATGTATTACAAAGTTTTTTTTTTTAAGTTCAAGCTGTGCACATGAAGACTTGTACAGAGGGCGTGCAAATTGCACGTAGGGTCATTTGTGAAAACAATGTTCATTTGTTAAAGAAATAAACCAACCGTGGTAATTTTGATTTGCTTTGAATTTGTTTGGATGATTGACGAGTTTTTTTTTTTCTTTCTTTTAATTCAAGCGCTACGACAAAGTAGCGATGAGTCTCGCCACTCAGCACTTCTATACGGCACAAGAAGATAATAATTTTTCCCTCTTTACAGCGATTGTTGTGTTCCGCCACTTGGCACGTTTTGCTTTCCAGTTTGTTGACCGCTTTGCTAGTCGTGAGTCTTAGCGTGCATACAAGAACAGCATGCAGGAAAGCCTGCTGACATGTGTAAAGAGAAATAACTAATTTATTTCTCAAAAAAAAAATTATTGAAAAGCCTCAAAATAATCCACTCTGAAAGTTTAACTGGGCAATCTTTAATTAATGTATGATCTAGAAAACCTTTGTTTCCTTTGAACTAGCTGAATGAAGCTACAATGTATCTGCCTCCACAAAAAGCAGAACATTCTTAATAACCAAGAGAACGTCATTCTGAATGAGCGCTCAATATTGAGGAGTTTAATGTTAATGAACCTTCAGTCATCTTAAAACGCCCATCACAACTTGGAAGAATTAATTCTAAATGTGAACTTAACAGTTACTGGTTACCTAACTCTGAATAATTAATATTATAACTCTTAATTTTTCTCTAATCCTCCTCATCAAGCTAAATGATAAGACGGTAACTGAAAAAATGCTGCACGTAAGTTAAGGTAACAGGTATAAATGTCAAATTCACTTATTGAATCTGAAGTCATAATAAAATGATGGTAACAGTTATGGTCAATTATTTATGTTCCTGTATCTCATTCTTTTTTTCTCGACACTTCTTCCCACAAGTTTAACATAACTTGGCTGAAAATGAGATAATTTAAAAAATAATAAAAACATAGAAATAAACTTACAAGCTCTTGCATGTCGTTGTTGATCGCTAAAGTTGTGATAACAGAACGGATGTCATTTACCCACGCGATGCAGCAGATTGCGGCTAATGGAAAAAGTTAGATGGTTCACGCATTTCAATGCGGTTTATCAATTTATTAACTGTTTGAGCTACAATTGACCTGGGGCAATATATCACTTAAATCATCTCTTAAATTGCAGCGCTAGCTATAACGCGTTGGTTCCATTCGCGTATTGAGTGTTTTGGTATCTGCTAATGATGGCGTCCAAGTCATACAACTTCCTCGATGGCCTGGAATTTTATTTCATTACCAAAAAGCTTGACGAAGTTCAGAGATTTGAAGGATCTGTGAGCGACCGCTCCAATGAAAATACCACGCACGCACGCGCTTTTTTCTCGTGGAGTAGATTATCATTCCGACCTGCATTCTTTCCATTCCACACAGACACAGAAAAAGTCCGTCTTATGTCTATTGACTGGTTTCCTGCTTGTATTGCGGAAAGGAAATCCTACCCGTGACATAATTCAAGGAAAAGTAAAGGACATTTTTCGGTAATAGCAGATAATATGGGCGTACTTGGCAAGAGAGTTACGGGCTGAAGGAAGAGAAACTTACAAGTGCCTCACTCCTCACTTCGAAGCATGGAAACTAGTTAGCGGCGCAAAGATTATTGGGAGAAACAAAATGGCGGACACCAGAGAATTCGTTACCAGTTTGCAGAATTTCCTTGTGACTCGTTAGTTTCTGGACAGTTGCAAGGTAACAATGAATGCCATTAAACCAGTTATTCTACCACAAGACCGAAAAAAAGCTTATCGAATTTATTTTAGGTGAAACACTGCGAGGTAGAAACAAGTGAATGTTTGGAAGATCCTGCTGATCCGGTCAAGAGTAGAGAAAGATCTTCGAAAAAGATTAGATTCCCTATAACTGGAACGTCGAAATTTTCTGCAGCCAGAAAAATAGTTGGAGAGACTGGAAAGGAAGAAATTTTACGAAGGACCTTAGCATTTGGTTCTCAGTATGGTATTGGGGACTTTACTAGCTTTGACTGTATAATTTTACAATAACTGTTGTGGTAATTCTGTCTAAATATATTTAGCTAAACTAATTTAAAATCTTGATATTTTTTAGACTATGGTGACTTATGAGCATACCAAAGTATCCGAATTGACTGTTGTTTTTATTGCAAGGGATTCTGTAGACATTTTTAGTTTATGGAGAGACTGTTGCTAACTTTGGTTTTATCGCTTCAGTTAAAAAAAAAATCGCTTTCAGTCGCCTAAAGTCGCCTTAAATCGCCTAAAGAAATCAATTAGAAATCAGCCTCGACACCATGGCGCGGCAACTAGGGAAAGGAAACTGACCGTTACGTTGTTCGCTGAGACTTCTCTCTCTCTACTATTGTGGCTGCCTTATGCTTTAACTACTTTTCTTTTTTTTGCCACTAACATTCTAAGTTCTTTGTCTGAAATAACGGTTTTCCGTTTGGAACTTGGTTCAATCATCTTGGTTTACGCAAACTGTTTTTTAAATCCGATATTGTATGCTATGAGAATGCCAGGTTTTAGGCGAGCTTTAAAGATGTTATGTCGCCAACGACCTCAACCACACAGACAGGTTGAGATCATTCCCCTCCGTGAGATTAACCCACAAGTTTGGATTTAACTGGGGTGGAAAAATGAACATTCACAAAAGGTTCTGCGAAAGTTGTTTTTAATAGGAAGTGCTCTTAACTCTCCAACCTCTACATTGTGCCTCAAATACAAAGGAAAGGAAAAAAGGAGGAAAATTGAATGAATCCGGATTACGTTAAGGATCCTTTATTATTAAACATGGTTCCTTTGTACGTTTCATGTGAAAGGTTTTATTTAGCATTTTGTTTATTTGGGTTTGTTTGATTATTTCCATTACTTTAGATTTAGTTCTGCGTCAGTTCAGGTTTAGTTTGCGTGTGTTTAAGACGAGTTCACGCTTTTTTGTGCGTGATTATGTCAAAGCCGTATTTTACCACTTTGTTTCGCTTTGATCGTTTCTATCGCTTTGCCTTGATTCGCTTCGTGTTTTGTAGAGATTCGCTGGATTCCGTTTTTGCCAAAGAAATAAATATAAGCACGTTAAACATGGTGTCTACAGTTTTAATCATATTTTGCAATATCATATTATCCTACTAAGTAAATAAACATTCAGGTAGAGGCTTGTCATTACAAAATAGCTTAACGCTTTACATCATAAAATCAATTTGACAAGGAGAATGTGTTATCAAGGTTTCTTAAGTTGATGACATTTCCTTTATTCGCGTGACCCTTGTTTTCTTCAGGCGTGATACTGTAAGGAGAAATTAGATATAAGTCAATCTTAATGTTCAAAGTGTTAACAGCTAAAGGATTTGTAGATGAGCTTGATGACCGCTCTTTATTAATTTGGCTATACACAAAATCAGAAAATAAAAAGGATGTGATTAGCTAACACGGCAAAAAAACTAGCGTTCACCGTACGAAAAACGAAGATTGAATTCACGGAAAACGCGGCATTTTACAAACGTTTACCCGTGTTATGCGTACGGAAAATCCAACTTTTTCTGCGCGTTTTCGCATCGGTGAATCCCTGTATTTGTTCCATTATACGGTAGTTTTCCTTCGCGTGTAATGTTGAATTTTTCAATCTTTCACCATTTCGGAAAATTAACGGTGAACGAGGATTTTCGTGCCGTGTAAGTAATTTACTTATTTGGTAGAAAAGGTTGTGGTTATTCATCGTGGTGAATAACAATAAAAGCTAAGTTTTTTCGTTTCTCTTACTATGTAGTCACGTGTGATGTAGATCGCGATGTTTCGACTGCATATTGCTAGTCTTCTTCAGGCGATGAGGTCGACGGTCATGTGTGATTTTATTACCAATTTATCACAAAAAGCACAATTTGCGAAAAAAGACTGACAAAGGAATTAGTGTTAGGGAACGGGGAACGGGGAACGGGGAACGGGGAACGGGGAACGGGGAACGGGGAACGGGCAGCGGGCAGCGGGCAGCGGGGCAGCGGGCAGCGGGGCAGCGGGCAGCGGGGCAGCGGGCAGCGGGGCAGCGGGCAGCGGGGCAGCGGGCAGCGGGGCAGCGGGCAGCGGGGCAGCGGGCAGCGGGGCAGCGGGCAGCGGGGCAGCGGGCAGCGGGGCAGCGGGCAGCGGGGCAGCGGGCAGCGGGGCAGCGGGCAGCGGGGCAGCGGGCAGCGGGGCAGCGGGCAGCGGGGCAGCGGGCAGCGGGGCAGCGGGCAGCGGGGCAGCGGGCAGCGGGGCAGCGGGCAGCGGGGCAGCGGGCAGCGGGGCAGCGGGCAGCGGGGCAGCGGGGCAGCGGGCAGCGGGCAGCGGGCAGCGGGCAGCGGGCAGCGGGCAGCGGGCAGCGGGCAGCGGGGAACAGAGAACAAAGAACAGGGAACAGGGAGCAGGAGACAAGGAAAAAGAAACAGTTAACAAGAAATGAAAAAAAGAAAGTAATGAAAAGAAATAAAGAAATGATATAATTATAAAAGAGTAAATTTCTTTTAGAGTAGGAGGCCCACTGTCAACCTGTTGAAGCAATAACAGGCTGTCTTCATTTTGCCTTCCCCTTCCACACCTCTTCCACGCAATATAAATGGTAGTTCCAGTCGCAAAATCCAATAGGAGAAGGGGGGAGGGGAGGGGGGGCTACATATAAACGTAAGAGAGGTGTTTGTGGGGGTACTAGCTGGAAAGCAATTAATTAAATAAACTACTTTTGTTTCAAACATGAATGAGTGATTGATAGCATTTTTATAAAAAAAAATTTAAAAAAACATGAAATAGGCTACGATAGTTTTACTATGGATTAGTCAGTGATTACCTATAGATACTACAGGATATGGATTAGTGAACAAAATCACGAATGTAGGCAAATGTTTTTTAATAGAACATGAAATTGCTTGTGGTAGTCACTTTAACGTGAACAAGGTGTCACATTCCTTTAAATAGAATGGGATCAAGTGATGGATAAAGGATAAGAGTGTTTGGTGAAAATGTCCTATATTTACATAATGCATTAGATGTAGATATAAATCTACAGTATGTTATGCATGTACATGTATAACTCTATGTTTATTGATACCTAACCATAATCAAAGGCTTGATAAATAAAAAAAAAAGCTCTAGGAAAAGATGCGATTTAAAGGAACTATGACAACTCTGTCTTCAAAAAGAAACAACAAATTTGGAAACAATTCTGGCCACTGGAAGATACCATGATGGGTCTCCAGGAAGAAATAGGGAATGGGGAACGAACATCAAAAGAAAAAGCGGGAAAGGCTAAAATTGTTGTGTGGTGTGTGAAAGGAAGTTATTTTCAAAAGCAAAAGATTGTACGTGCTATTGTAGAAACGACTTCGATTTTTGTCCTCTGATTGTTTGGGCGATCGATGATGTTACTTGTGAAGGATGCAAGGGGCCTGTCGAAGAGCACAAACGAATTGGTTATCGTTGATCATTTGAAGTACTCACTTCCTGTGAGCGTTTTTTACAGCTTCAACTGTACTGCTAGTGCAATGTACTTCCAATTTTAACCAAAAATTAAAGTTTACAGAAGTTCATGTTTTGTTTCAAAAGCTTTTTTTTTTTGACACGAATCACAACCGGCGGGACCGATTACCAAAACAAAAACGGTCAATGTCGAGTAAAGAAAAGAAAGACAACATTGGTACTAGAGATACGGTCGTTACATCAAAGAGCTCGTTAGAAATGAAGGAATAATCATGGATTTTATCGGAGTAAGGAAAAGTGTTTTCGAACATTTAGTCTCGGAAATATCATCAGAGATTATCAATGATGAGGGCAAATTGTTATTTACAACAAGTACTAGTTTGGGCTTCCAGTTATAATAAGGATAGTTAAATAAATCAATTATTCCTAACAAGAGTCATATTTAGTTATCATTTCAATTGCACAAGAAAAAATCGTATACGCTCTGGTATGAGTCTTTTACTTTTGTCCTGAGGTTACTCTTTTCGCCGAGAGATTTTTTCTTGTGCCGTGAGTCTTCTTTTTGCCGTGAATCTTTTTCTTTTTCTGTGAGTCTTATTGGCGGAAGATTATAAAGAACCTGAGGCCGCTTTCAAAAAAGTTACTTGAGATAAGGTAGGCTTTGAAGATTATTTTCTTAACAAGAGTACATCGGCACAAATCGGGTCTTCGGAATGTTGAGAGGTTCGGGTCACTTCAGTCGAGTCACGTGGTGTCCTAAATCACCTTCAGTCGTTTGATTCTTCTTGTTCTTATTTTGTGTTTCTGAATCAATTGCAAAGTTTGCCATGTCTCCTAAAGTACACAAGAGAAGTAGATTCCAGAATTTTGTATGCAGTGCAAGACAATTGAATGTTGTAGTTAATTTTTGCGAAAACACCTGAAGCTAAATTAGCACCAAGAAAACATTGAAAGGACAACTAGTTTATATTGAAAAACACATTTATAATCTTAACTTGTTTAATGCAACCTTTACCAGTCATGAAAACAGAAAAAACTGAAATCAAATAACAGAAAAAGAAAGATGGTAAGTTTTGAGTCGGTAAACGTGGACTCAATTTTTTACTTGTCTAACACTCGCGACAAGACGAAACACATCTTTCTCTGGAACTGTTTCCTAAAAGAAGTTGACAGAATCATGCAAAATTCTTCAGAGCGTCTTTATTTCTCCTTTCTATGGAAAACTGCAGCCTTGTACGATTCTGAGTGTCATCGGCGGAAAATTATAAAAAAAACTGAGGAGGCCTTTAAGAAAGTTACCGCAGATAAGATAAGCTTCGAATATTATTTTCTTAACAAATTGCTCTTAACCTATTTCAATGTTTCTAAATTAAAACGGAGTTCACCTTAAATTTTGAGGGGAACTGACGGTAAGGTGAGTTTCTGATAAGGAAGAGAATGGGGAGGGGGGGGGGGGTGTCCAATACACTTAAATTGGGTCGATTCATCTGAGGCTGTTTGAATTATGAAAATAACTTAAAACGTCAATCAGGTGACATAAGATTGAAGGTTGAAGGGAACCTAATTTTTTTACACCCAGATAAAAGACTTCTGTGGCGTGAGTATATCAAAAATAAAAAGGAAAACTACTTCAAAAAGCGGAGTAAATCAGTAGCTACAGCTAATATCTTCGGGTGATCGAAGTAAAATGTGTGACAAAGAGAAGTAGGTTCAGATATTGCACGCTTGTTTGTAAGATACCATGACTGAGAGCAATAAATGATAACCGTTTTGTGTCAAATCCGTTTGATATGCTGTACTTAAGAATTTGTTTATGCTTAACGTGCGTATATCGAGTTATGGATGCACGCGGAAAGTTTGGAGAGAGTAGCTCGAGGCGCAGCCGAGAGCAACTCTAGCTTTTGAGTGCTCTTCAACTTCCCAAGTGCATCCATAACTCAATATACGCACAGTTAAAACAATGAGCAAATTATTTTATAACAGAGCGACAACAAGGATCTGCGCGAAGAAGCCTTTTATTGAAAATTCTCACAACGCACAAAAAAAATAAAATAAAACAAAATAATGAAGAAATAAAAGTAAACAAATGTCCCTATTCAAAAACACGCCACATCTTATACTTTGGTTTAAGCGAGAACATTTGATCCAGTTAACCCATAACTGTGAATGAAAAGCTCAAAATTTACGGGGAAAAGGGAGAAAATCAAAGCCAAATGAACTCAAGTGTCACTAGAAATGTTTTAAAAACCCGATATAATCAAGGTTTTTTATTATTTAAAATAATGTTTGATAGAAAAATTAAGGAGTCCTTCGCTGGTTTCTTCCATATGTCAAAGAGAAGGAAAACTGCACTGCAGCTTAGCAGGACGGAAACTCTGAAGCCAGGTTAAAAAAAAAAAAAATGCTCCCGTCATCTTATGGACGCACGGGGGGTGAATGATAACTGTTTTGTAAAAAATTCGTTTGATATGCTTTTTTTGTTATTAGCCTTTGTAAAAAGTCTTAACAAAACATTTCTCTACGTCCACGTTGACCTATATAGAGATACGCATCTGTTGGAAAGCAAGAATGTGCAGCCTAATTTTTCTTCCATTTCAATTTTATCATTTACTCTCACTTGGTAAAAAAGAAAAGGAAAAATTAAAGAAGACTACTTTAAGTACCTCTTGCCAAATAAAAAAAAAATAAAAATAAAAATAAAAAATTGGAAAGGAGAATAAAACAAAAACAAAAGTTCAAAGCATAGGTAAACGAATCACATTAGTACTAAGAACGTTCAAATTCGAAAAGACCGACGACAGAGACTTGATGGAAGCCCATAATCCATTGTCAGCTTCAGGTTAATGACCTGCGGAGAATAGTTAAGAAAACTAATTAGTACATGAAAAAGAGGTGCTGATATCTGGTATGCAGATCCAAGGGAAGTGGACAAACAAATAATTTGAACTTTTTCTGCGGACCAATTCTGAACTATGATAGAAATGATGATAAACATGATTACAAGAATAATAATCATAATAATGATATTCATCAATATTAAATTGATCATTATTAAATTAATCATGATTATAATAATAACAAAAAGACAAAGGAACATCTTTGAAGTGTTGGCGTTTTATTTCCAACGCTAGTTGTTAATTATGCATCCTATCTGAATAAATTGTCAGTCTTTACTAGTGTATTCAAGAGAAATAGTGAATAATACATGGTGGGCGCAGACATAGGATTTCTTTTCGTGTGTTCAGCTCGATGTCTCACGAGCTCGCACTAAGTTCGGTGCGCTCGAGCTGAACACGAGAAGACAAATTCCAAATCTTCAAGCGACCATGTCTTATTTTGTCTATTATCTAAACACGATAGGTCTTTACCTACAGGTAAAGTCGACGTTATTAACGAATGAAAAAAATAGGATCTTCCATCCAATAAAAAAAGTCGTAATTGCGTCGGCGATAAGGCTACAGATGAGGAAAAGCGTTAAATCATTCCAAAAAAAAAACCAACAGGCGTTAATTTCAATTCACATAATTCTCTCTCTGGGAACCTTTGAACCATACCAAATGAGCATTCCTCTAAATGATCTTAGACATATCTGATTCATTCACGCATGTCATGTTTGTATGAAATATTTTGCAGCGCATCGTCGAAAGGTAAAAGGCTATGTGGTATGTCTCGCATCTTTCTGAGAAAGAGCAGAAAGTAGCTTGTGAATTCCAAAAAGTTTTCTTTCTGTAATGAGCGGTCAACTCCATGCGTCTCGTTTTAACTGCGCATGTCGATTCGACTTTCTGGCGATGAACAGTAAAAATAATAACGATAATGATAATGATAATGATAATAATTTTATCATGGGCAGTGCAAGACAGTTGGATTAATTTATAGCGAAAACGCCTGAAGCTACCACGTCATAAATTAGCACCAAGTAAACTTGGAAAGGACAATAAGTTTATATCGAAAAACACATTTATACTTTTAACTTGTTTAATGCAACTTTTACCGATAATGAATACAGGATAACTAAAATTAATTTCATTAAAATAAAAAAGGTGGTAAGTTTTGAGTCAGTAAACGGGGACTCAGAATTTTTTATTTGTCTAACGCTCGCAACAAGACGAAAAACATCTTTCTCTGTAATAAAACTGTTTACTAAATGAAGTTGACAGAATCATACAAAATGGTAGAGACAGGAACTCTTAATTATTATTCAGCTCACGATCGACTATTTCCTTATTAAACAGCTGCGTACAGCTCATAAAATGCCAATGTTGCCATGCAAACGCCTTGTTCGATTCTGAGTTTCATCGGCGGAAGATTATAAAGAACCTGAGGAGACTTTTAAGAGAGTTACCGGAGACAAGGTAGGCTTTAAAGATTATTTTCTTGACAAATTGCTCTTAGCCATTTTCAATGTTTCTGAAACGGAGGTCACCCTAAATTCTGGGGAGAACTTACGGTAAAGTGATTTTCTGATTAAAGAAGGTTGTTCAATACACCTTAATTAGGTCGATTTATCTGAGGCAGTTTGAATTATTAATTTAAATCCTCATTCAGGTGACATAAGATTGAAGTGAGACCCAATTTTTATTGCCGGCTTTAAAGAAATAAAATGTACAGATCAACGTCCTCTTTGGCGTAAATATATTGAAAATGACATGGAAAAACTACTTGAAAAAGCGGAGTAAATTGGCAGCTACAACTGATATCTTCGGGTGATCGAGGTAAAATGTGTGACAAAGAGAAAAAGTTTTAAATATTCGACACTTGTTTGTATGATACCATGACTGAAGGCAAAAAATGAGAACCGTTCTGTGTCAAATTCGTTTGATATGCTGTACTTGTTATAAGCCCATGTAGAGTTTTTTTAAAATATCTTTCTCATACTCTCACATGCTCCTATGTAGATGTGTTACGAGAATTCGTTAATAAC